TATATTTAAGATTGAGTTGGGTTAGGAAATAAGATTTGGGCATGTCAGTTTGGTCACTGATATCAATATTCAGGAGAGTGCCAGGACCCTCAAAGAGGGCAAAACACTGTGAGGAGGAATTTTTCTTAAATTTCTTCTTTCATAAGCTATCAGTGCCGCTTCTGCAATACAGCCTCACTAGTCAACACTCAAACCTGATCCCTACCACCTTGGAATGGAGGAACCTGCACCAGCCAACTCATTGGGTATGCCTGAGACAAGGTGGGTTCTCTGTCTCTCACATCCTACCAAGTCCTCATGGACTGGTGTGAAGAGGCTAGTTTAAGCTGTGGTGAGCGTGGCCTGCTAAGCGGGAGGGAAATGAGGGAATTGCTCAGCTTAGTTTCCACACTGGCATATGCCTTAAATGTGAGGGAGGCTGGCTGTGGTGTGGGGGAGAGGAAGCTGTAAATCTTTGGGGTTTGGCAAAGTGCCCTGAGTTCCTGGGCATTGGATTTACCAGGCCCAACTTTCAGACTGACTTTGTTGTTCTGAAACTGTGTGTGCGTGTGTGTGTGGGGAGGCGGGGGGGCATAAGTAGTTTGCTGCTGCTTTGGAGTGTGTCAGTGATGTGGTTTCATATGGGTTTGGGTTTTTTAAGAAATTCTGACTCATATGATTATGGGTTGCAGCTCTGTAACCTGTCTGCCTAATTCAGCATGTTTCTATGGAAATAACTGGGTGGAGGCCGATGACAGTTTGGATTCAAACCTCTGCATAGGTAGCAGTGGTGAGAGGAGACAGGCCGGCCCGGTGACAGGAGACAGGCCAGCCCAGTGCCAGCACTGGCATGCTAGCTGCTTGTAGGGTTGCCAGGTGTCCAGTATTCAACCGGACAGTCTGGTTTTTGGGCCCTCTGTCCGGTAAAAAAATTCAGAAAATACCGGACATGAGCAATGTCCAATATTTTCTGGTTTTCTAGCTGGGCGCCCGACGGAAGCCTGGCGGGGGGAGGCGAAGAGGGGCTGGAAGGCAGGGCGCGATCGGCGCTGGGAGCCCTGGTTGCGTGTGAGGAGGAGGGGCAGCCTGGTCTGTGCTCCTGCACGCTGGTCAAGCACATGGTGGAGCTGCAGCCAGACTGACTCGTGCTTCGCCTGAACCGTGCGGGGGGCGGGAGCGCCCTGGGATCTGCACTGCCCAGGTCAGTCCCGCTCCCCAACCCCACCGCCAGCTCTATCTCCCGCCGGCTGGTTCCTCCTCCCAATCTTCCCCGGCCAGCCCCGCTGCACCCCCTGCCAGCGCTGCTTCCGGCAGCCAGTTCTCCCCTCCTCTCCCAATCTCCCCCGGCCGGCCCCACTGTACCCAACCCCCGCCCCCGCCTCCAGCTCCCCCAGCCAGCCCCACTGCCTCCTTTCCCCCCACCAGCCCTGCTTCCCATTGCCCCGCTCTCCTCCCGACCAGTCCCTTCCCACCCCCGATGAAGTGTGTCCAGTGTTTTTTCTGAAGCTACCTGGTAACCCTAGCTGCTTGTGGTATTACGGGTACCAAAGCTCTGTGTGCCAGAGACCCATCTGCTCTCCTCCATGTGCTATCTGTTCTCTGTGTTCTCCAGCTTCTATGGCCTCCGGAATCCAGGCTCCGGTGGGAAGATCACTATGGAGTAAGCATCCAGTAACAGCCAAAGACAGCTTGTGACAAGTTTCATTCTCGCATGAGCCTGGCCTCATTTCTGAGGACTGCAGGAGTGGGTGGCAGGATCAGACGCATTCCAGTCGAATGGATTATTTTCCAGAAATAAGTTCATGCCAGATAACAAACCAAGGAATCATTTCATAAGCATGGTGTGCAGACCTACAGAAAAGCACCCCATAACCTGACAGTGTGTGTGATTGGCTGAGCGGCACATCTCTGGTGAGGAAATCCACAAAAGGGTCTTGAGTGTTTTATCCAGATGTAGAGAAGGGGCAGCCAAATCTCACGCCCGTCATCCTCAGAGATGTCCCCCTGCACACCCAGGGGGCTACAGAGTCTTAAACTACTGGATAAAACCATATGTGCCAATGTGTTTCTTTCCCTTTCATCTTGGAGCTGTCACTTTAATGGTTTGATGTCACCCAGCCTCTGGCTTGCTCAGTCTTTTCTATCCCTTCTCTTATAGCTGTCTAAAGAGAACTACAAAAGCAAGAGAAGTGAGCTTGTGTCATTTTTTCTCTCTTTCTGATGGGTCCAGAGGGCCTGAACCTCATGTCAGTTTTTAAAGATTTTTTTTCTCTCCTTCGCTACAGTGACAATCCAGGTCTTGTCTCATTTAGAAAACTTTATGGGAGAACCAGTGAAATGATGATGGAGTAAAAGTTGACTGCGTGAAAAGAGACTGCTCTCTGAGAACAGCTGCTCAGTGTGCATCAGTGGTCAAAAAGTGAACAGAATGTTAGGAACCATTAGGGAAAGGATAGATTATGAGACAATAAACATAATGCCCCTCTGTAAATCCATGGTATGCCCACACCTTGGACACAGCATGCAGGTAGAGTCGCCCCATCTCACAAGAGATATACTGAAATTGGAAAAGGTACAGAAAAGGGCAGCAAAAATGATTAGGGATATGGAATGGCTTCTGTATGAGGAGAGATTTAAAAAAGCAGGACTGTTCAGCTTGGAGAAGAGATGGTTAATGGGGAATATAGCTGAGGGCTATAAAATTACAAATGGTATGGAGAAAATGAATAAGGAAGTGTTATTTACCCCTTCACACAACACAACAACTGGGGGACCCCCCAATGAAATTATTATGCAGCAGGTTTAAAACAAACCAAAGGAAGTACTTCACATAACCTACTGTCAACCTGTGGAACTCACTGCCAGGGGATGTTGTGAAAGCCAAACTGTAATGGCATTCAAAAAAGAATTAGAAAAGTTCATGAAGGACAGGTCCACAACTCCATGCGCTGGTTGTCCCTAAGCTTCTGATTGCTAGAAGCTGAGAATGGGCGACGGGGGATGGCTTGCTTGATGACTGCCTGTTCTGAAGTACTGGTACTTACCACTACCAGAAGACAGGATACTAGTTAAACCCAGTATGGCCTTTCTTGTGTTCTCAAGTGACTTTTAGTCAGATGGTCTAAAACAATATGTGGCAGATACTTGGGACTGGCGCTTCTGCACCAGGCACAACATGATGTGTGGTAGTGGTGAGGGGACATGAAAGTGGCTTTAAACCACTTTTATGTCTCTCTTATCCTGTGACTATCATGCTGTTCCTTAAGTGCAATTTAGAACCGATTCAGGGCTTCTGTAAGCCACACAGGCTGACAATGACTCTCAAGACACTGCTGCGGCAGCCAGGGCTTGGCATGGTGTAGTGACTATCTGGACACATCGCTTTCCCTCTCTGTGGCCTCTGTATCTGGGGACAGAGAATGGGGTGGCATAGGAATAGCCAGACAGGTCTGATGCCATCTCGGGAGTCCGCCTCTTTCCTTGGGTAACTGGAAGGTATTTTTGTAATTGTTTTCCACTGGACAATGAGCACAAAGTAGCTATTGTGGGCAGGGCCTGGCCCTTCATTTATATTTATTGTTGTTACCACCTGTTTAATGTAAATGACTAGTCAGACTAATCAACATTTTGGAGAAAGAAACTCTTAGGGTGTGTCTACACTGTACCTGTAGCTCGAAGTAAGATACGCAATTTGAGCTATGTAAATGGCGTAGCTTCTTTTGATCTTATTTCAAAATAGCCTCTTTTGTAATTTGGTGCAGTCTACACAGCACTTATTTCAAAATAAAGCATATTCCCAAACATCCCTTATTCCTAGTGCCATGAGGTTTACAGGGATGTCGGAATAGCCAGCCTGTTACATTTCAATATTACTGGCTTGCTCTTAAGATGCAGAATAGCTATTTTGAGGTATACCAGAGGTATCCCGAAATAGCTCTGCAGGGCAGAGATAGCCTTTGTTAAGGTGTGAGTATCAACAAGTTGTGTCCTGTGAGAATCAGCATTCAGACAAGCCAATTATTTTTGCAGGTCCCCTTTATAATTCATTGTGGTTTGTATTTTAACTGAATCAGTGGCCTACGAAAGAGGTTAGATGGATGGTCCTGGAGAACGAAGTTGCCTCTTCTCTCGCAGTGAGTATGGGCCAGACAGTAATGTACAAAACCCAACCACTCCTCCCCATCATGCTCCCTCCCAGCGGTGCCACAGTGCTAACACAGAGGAACAAACTCAAAGGGTGGAAAGTTCAGTACCCAGGACTCATTCAGTCTTTGGGCTCTTTGGGGAAACTGACAATTAGTGTCAACGGTGGTGGCTTTTGGCATGTGAGTCCCCCTGCTTTGGCAACGGGAGTGATCTCTGGAATCTCATTTCACACAAGCCAAGAAGCCTTTGGTTTGTAATAACTGAGTGGGGCTGGATTCAAACAGGCAAACTTGAAATAAAAGGTCCTATCTCCCATCAGTCACTGAGCAATGGCCAGTCTTTCTGTGGTTATTGCTATTCACTAGCAAAGATGAATGGTGGCTGTTTAATGCTCAACAAGTGGCCGTAAGGTGTAGTTGTCATAGGAGCCAAGAGGCTAGTTCCTTCAATGGCAGCACAGAATGCCTCATCATAGAATATCCCGCCAATCACAGCGTGGAGTACACCAACATCCCGCTAATCACAGCATGGAGTACGCCAACATCTCACCAATCACAGCACAGAAAACCCCAGCGTCCCACCAATCACAACACAGAACACATTAACATTCCAATCACCTCCTTTTCCCCAAAAGAGATATTGCCCTTTTCTGTAAAATAATAGCAGACCAGGTACTGAAAAGCTACAGCAAACTTACTGAGCATTTGGGACATTCCAGGTGAAAGGAAAGAGGCATTGGAACTAGCTTTCCTCCTGCTTTTTTTCATTGTCAGAACTGACTCCCTCTCCTCCCTTAAAATTTTACTTATTTTTTTAAAAGGCAAAAAAAAAAAAAAAAAATCCCCCAAACAAAAACAAACCCGGACGAGAATGAATCATATGTAGCTTTTTAATTAAAAGGAAAAGTTAAAAAGATCCCAGCTGATCAATGGATGATGAGAACCAGAGAAAGCCATGGTTCAAGAATGAGGGATGGAGGAAAGACAGTAAGTACTAAAAGCAACTTCACAGGCCCCAGGGATGACAGTTTAATATTTAACCTTTTATTTTATAATGCAAAGAAAAGCTTAATATTTCAATTTATGAAGCACTGAAACCCTACAGCAGAGACTACAATACCCGCCCCCTCCCCCACTGATTTCTGCATGGAGCCCACCCATGTTCTAAATGCCCCCTTACCCAAACGTACGATTACCTAATGCTTTAAATGGTCTTTTTGCATCAGAGTAGCTTTACTGATATAGCTACAGCGGAGCAAGACACAAGGTAGGTGTGGCTTGCACAAATGCAACTCCCCCCATTTTACACAGTGCATCTATGGGAGAGGTTTGCACTAGTGTAACTACTGATGCAAATATAGCCAAATCCCTAGAGCAGAAAAGGCATTGAAAAGAAGCATGCAGAAAGCTAGTGAGCATTTGGGATGTCCCATTAGTGATGATGACTAGAAAGGGGATAAAATAAGTAATTTGTTTATTCTTCAAATTCACATAAATTAATTATACTTTCAGATTATAAATCTGTGTCTCTTTCAGTGTCTATTAATGTTGGAATTATCCTTCCATGAGCCTGTTCAGGCCAAACTAAGAAGCACTCCTGAGATTGGGTGGTCATTTCAGAGAGAGACAAGCAGTTCAGGAAATCATATAAATAACTAAAATATGTATTATAACAGGGATAATCCATGGGGATGAGGCTAGTGCTGTGAATGGGAAGGACAAAAATGGGGTATTTTTTCCCTTGTAAATTGCAAACCCTCCTGATTATCCAGGAAGGGTAAAATCCTGCTTGCCTTACTCATGTGAGTAGCCCCAAGTTGAGGAAAAAACAGGTAGTCTTCCTGCATGCGTAATGCAAGTGAAATCTCTTCCTTAGTGGTGAACTGAGAAGAGAAACTAGAAAATGTTGGTTTTACTGTTTTTCTGCATTTTATAATGCATAAATATAACCTCAAAGAAAAATCCTTATTATTTACACAAAACATCTCTGGTCCTTGCATCTCCCGCAGTGCTGAAGGATCCCGGGCAGAGCTTTGGAGAGCCTGAACCATAAAGTCATCACTGGAGTTGTAGAGAGATCTGTGATTCCCCCTCACCTCAATCAATAGGAGAAGGGTTCAAACTTAGCACCCCTCTGCAGGAAGCAGTAAGAAAGCAGGAGAAACCCAACTTGCAGGACAGCATAGTGACATCCTCTAAGTCCTCCAACGATCTCACCAAGGCTTCTAGAATGGAAAGGGCAGTGAGGGCTTAGTGTTCTAAATGTAACTGCACAGAAAATCCCTCCCTATACGTCCCCATAATGCACATACGTTATTGTTAAACCTTGGAGACAGAAGTTGGAAAGGGCAGGCATGTAGCTATATGTAAATATAGATCTCTCTCGAACATTTTGTTTTGTAGTTCCCTTAGACCGAGGCAGTTTCTGGAGTGTAAACCTTAGCTCTTGTTGTTGGGCTAATTCACATTAATAGAGTGATCCAATGAGTCCTGATTCTCATCTCAACGCAACCAGTGTAATCAAGGTCAGATGGCGCTGTATCTCTAGTAAGACAGAAGAAACAGGCCCTAACTAAACTAACAAAGCAAGACAACTTGAGGATTAAGTCCTAAGGGTTAGCAAGAAGCAAGTCCTCCAATTGTCCTCTGTTGCACTATCATAAAACCTAATAAAGCAGAACCATTGAAATCTGCAAGTGAGGGAAACCTATGAGACCTAAAGATGTCAAGTTGGCTTACAGGTGGATTTCTCCTGGACGTCCCTGCCTTCTCCAAAATCATGTTTTTGACCCCTATTTTGAGTGACCCTTTGACTGAAAAGTGATCTCTGCTGTTCTTTAGGGTTTGCAGCCAAAACAGGCCACATCCTTTAGCACCCTGGTAGATGTAAATACTCGTGTGGAGTATAACTTCCAAACGCAGTCATGACCACATAAAAACCAGATAATTTGATCCTTTCACTCATAGCTGTCTCACCAAAATGATCCAGTCAGTGAGCTTGTCCGGTGAAGCTGAGCAAATCTATCCCCACCTGACAGTTTGTTCACTGGAAAAAGATGCCGTGCAGGAATAAGACTCAGAGGTTTGCATAGTCAGGTGGGATGGGAGGGCTTTAGGGTGGCTTACTATGAACGTTTCTTTTGATTTCCAGTTGTGGGGTTAGGCATCCCCATGCATAATTTCCAGGTGTGTAAATCAGATATCAGCCAAGTATCCCTTAAAAGAAGTATCCCTTAAAAGAACCCAGAGAGTTCAGATCCAGATGTGGGTGTAAACTTCCCCAAAATTAGGTAGTTCATATATAGTTCTCCAGTTCCTCCCATGCATCAGAGTGGCAGAATTCAGATCTGGATAATCTCAAAACTCTGGGGTGAGGAATCAGTGTTTCATGTCAGTCCACTCGGTCTAACTCTCAGCGTTTGGACTCAGATCTGGATCTGAACTCCTCAGGAGCTTTCAGGCCTGACATTCTGGTTCTGACCCACCTTATATTTCTACCCTCTTATCAACCTTGCCTGAGTTTGGAGCCTGCAGTGACACACCGATCCAGGCAGGTTTCATGTGGTTGGATGCAATTGTTTTGCTCAGCTCCGTAGGAAGGAAATAATATTTCATTATATGGATAATTGAGGTTTTAATTACCAGCCTTAAAAAAAACCAACACATGGCGTTTATGATGTGAAGTAATACCAGACTCTCAGAGAAGTTTGTGGGATATTGTTGTAGTCTTTGCTGTGGGGTTGAGCTGAGCAGCTGTCAGTATTTCTTAGTGGCCTTCCTTGTGTCTTTTAGATGGTCATAAAATATAAAAGGCCAATTAGAACAGACATATAAATAAGCTCCCCAGACCCTTTGACAGCATGGAGAAAGGCCTTCTACCCTCTATCCACTACCCAGGAGTAACTCACAAAAACTTCAGGGGAAATTCCCCGCAGATTTCCGTTAATCCATATTGAGGAGGCCTGATTTTCAGCAGTGCTGAGTATCTGCAGCAGTCGCTGATTTCACTGAGAGCTGTGGGCATTCAGAACCTCCGAAAACCAGGCCAATGAGTTTTGTTTTGTTTTTTGGCGTCAGGAGCAGGAGCAATGAGAAAGCAGGAGGAGACGGATGTTCTGTGACAGTTGGACACAGTCTTCAGAAATCCTAGTAGGCAGGACGGCCATTTCTGAGGCACGGCAACCTGCCCCGAGGGAAAATGCCTCACTGCCCGGAAGGGGCAAACCACACAGAGTCAAATCTAATCATCGTCGTCATCGTCGTCATCATCGTCATCGTCATCATCATCATCATCATCATCTTCGTCATCGTCGTCATCATCGTCGTCATCTTCCGTGTTTATCTTCCCAGAGAGCACGTCCTCTATCCAGTCTTCTAGCTCCTCAGCTGTGGGCAGGTCATCATCATCCATGATTTCCATCCAGACGCTGTCTGCCTGAAGGGACAGATACCACAGCAAGCGATCAGAGCACATCCCTGGCCTACCAAGCCCTGGGTGGTGGGAGGACTGGTTCACTACTCTAAGGAGAGCATGGCATTAGCTCATTTCCCTAACTGGGTGTGGTGGGATTAGCATATGCGTCTAGCAGGGGCTGGCAGGTTAGTTCCTCCCCCTTTCTAACAGGGGGACTCAGTGTGGCTTTACTAAGGCCTGGGCTTCATTTAAAATTGAGGTTGGACCAGCTACGTCACTCATAGCTGTGAGTGCCGGCCCCAGGAGCGTGGCAAAGTGGCTCCAGGTGCTCAGGGACACCAGCTCCGGGCGCGCGGCTAAGGTGGGGGGGGGTGCCGGCCCCGGGAGCGCAGCGAAGTCGCCGCCCGTGCTCCAGGCGCGCGGTGCATGGGGAGCGCCGGCCCCCTGGTGCGCAGCTATGGGGGGCGCCGGCCCCAGGCACGTGGCTCATGGGCGCGGCATATGTCCTGCCCCACCCCCTGGTGCGCGAGTGTCCCCGCCCTCTGGTGCCCGGCAGGCGAACGGCCATGCTCCCTGGCGCCAGAGGACGTCAAATGGTTGGGAACCACTGGTCTAGAAGGACACCCTTGGGGTGACACCACCTCCTGCCATCTGGAAGAGCCTTTTCCCATGGTGCTGCTTTGGCTTACTGACTCCACATGTCCATTCCCTCTTGCCTGTCTGTCCTAAACTGTTCTCTGCCGCTGCTGGTGTAATTTTAAGCTGCAGATCATTACGGGGGAAGAGACACTGTACAAAATAAAGCTGTGGATTAGTGAAAGGGGGACATAGGTGACTTACGCTCTGTTCCCCGTTTGGTCACAGATCCCTTGCATGACCATGGCTTTTCCCTAACTATGAAGCGGGGATAATGACACTGTCCACTCATGTTTTGAAAGGCACTGGAGCAATGAAATCTCCCAAAACAAAATCTTTCCTGGCCTGAGGGACCTAATTTGTTTGGGGTCCTGTTATGTGCTTTGGTCACATGGCTGCCTCTGGGGGAAGGGCTTAGACCCCCAAATATTTCCCTTATTAAACAGGAAGCTATCAAAAGAGATTCAGAGCTTGATCCTGTGGCCCTGTGAACAGTCCCTTTGAATGCAATGGCCTTGTTTGTGTGAATGAGGGCTATTTGTGTGAGTAAGGACAGGTGGATTAGATTTATTACTTGTGTGGAAAATACAGCTGCAGTATATCGTAATGCACAGTGGCAGGACTTTTACACTGCCCCAGTGAGAACCTGGAACATATTGGGATTTTTATTGGTGGATTTCTAGAGATGTGATGGAAACAAAGAGGCCACTCTCACTGAAGTCAGTGGAAACGTTTCTTTATATTCATTGGGACTGATAAACCACTGTGTTACTTCAGTTTAATCTCAGTGCATTCACATCACTGTAAAACTGGAGCACTGCAGTACTAAATCCAGTCCAACATTTAATTTTTTTTACCGTGCTAAAATGTACCTTCCTTAAACATCCTTCTAGATCAAATGAAAATATACTTAGGAGAAGAATGAAAGAGAAGTACCTAAACCCCACAACCAATAATCTAGCCTGTTTACAAAGAAAACTGTAGCAAAGCTATGGTCAGATTATGGCATACGCTTCTTCCGAAAGATCTCTAGATCAGTGTTTCTCAGCCAGTGGTATGGGTACTCTTAGGGGTACTTGAGAGAAGTCTGGGGGGTACGTCACCACAACTGAAATTTGGAGAAAACTGAATTTTTGTTTTAAGTTTTCCAGCGCTTTATTATTTTTGTACTTTTTACACCCAAAAATTTCATCACCCGCCTGGCTATGATTAAGTTGTTTAAACAAATGTGTTGCAATGGTAGAAAAAAAATGCTATGTCTGAAAACTGTAGGTACTGGGGGTATTTATAATTTTTTTTGTTTGAAAAAGGGGGTACTTATATTTTTTAAAGGGGGTATTTTATAAAAAAGGGGTTGAGAAACGGTGCTGTAGATGACCTCTGGATAGTAAATAACATGTTCCATTGGGTAACCCGCATTCATGGCCAGTATCTTATTGCATGTTTCATTCTGGCTACTGACAGTTCTAGACCCACATATTTCCATTGATGGCCCTTTCACATAACTTTTCAATTATTTAAAAGGCAAGCACTGGCTGAAAACACATTAACAGGACACATCAGGGTCTAGAATCCAGGTCACTGATTCTAAGTCCTGCGTGACCTAGTGTGAGATCCTCATGTAAGACATTTCACCTCTCTGTGCTTCTGGTTTCCTTCCTCCCCCACCCTCTTCTTTATTTAGGCCTGGTCCACACTAGAAAATTAGGTTGGTTTAAATATGTTGGCCAAGGGTGTGAAGAAAATCTAGCCATGCTTGTCTACCCTGAAGTGCTGCAGCAGCACAGCCGTGCCACTATAGTGTGGTAAGAGTAGATAAACCCTTAGACTACAAGTTCTTCAGGGCAGGATCTGTCCCTTAATATGTATATGTACCGGGCCTAGACCAACAAGGGCCTCCATTCTATTTTGGGCCTCTAGCCACTGCTTTAATATTGTTAAATGACTGGGATTAAACTTCATCTAACCTGTTGTGACCTCCACTCCGCCTTTATGGTGGCTGAGAGACAACCAAACAGCCCCAGCTAAGACAAAGGGGATACCACGTGATTTGGACTTTGCAGATGGAGAGCTTCATAAGGCATCGTGGGCACATTTAACACACTACAGCAGTGCCACTGCAGCATTTCTGTATGGATGTTACCTATGCTGACAGGAGGGATTCCTCTGTCATTGCAGGGAACCCACCTTCCTGAGAGCACGTCTACACAGCAAGCTGTTATTCTGAAATAATGTCGAGCTGAAGGACTTCTTACTGCAACCCCTCATGTCACTAGGAGTAAAGGAAGTCGGAGGAAGAGTGCTCTTCCTTTGACTTCCTGCTGTGTAGAAGCGCCAAAAGCCAAATTAAGCTATTTCAACTTCAGCTATGCAATTGCTGTAGCTGAAGTTGTGTCACTTAATTCGATTTTTGCCCTGCTGTGTAGACATACCCTGAGAGGGTAGGCTGCCATACCTAGCATTGTTTACACTGGGAGTTAAGCCGATATAGCTATGTTTCTCAGGGAGGTGGATTTTTCATGCCCCTCAAGAGATGTATGTAAATCTCTAGTGTAGGTCAGGCCTCTGTGGTTGGGTGGGGAGGTAGCACTGAAAGAACACAAGCAGAAAGACTATGCCAGCAGAAATAGGGAAAAAAAGCCAAGCAGACACTTTCTAGAAGAAAAGTAATGAGACAAACTAAGAGAAAAGCTTTTTGAATATGAGTATTAGCTGGAAGGCAGGCTTGGAACAACCAACAAAGAAACTGTTTCCTGCTATTTGATTCCTCCTGTGTTCAGAGAATCAGGACTTTGTCCATTCTTTGTAAATAAATAAGGCTGCACCAAATTTAAACAGTGGACTGATTCCTGGTTCCACATAGAACACAGGAAGGGCCTCGAACCCTGATTAGCCACTTGGGCCAGAAGGGGGTAATAATATAATCATAAGAATACATCAGCTTAAGGATGTTAAATATCAACAAACTGACTAATCGAATAGTCTATGCATTTTGTATTGACTATTCAATTAGGCAATAGGGCGCCTCCACCTTTGAAGTGTAGCAACAGACCTAAGGCTGTTGCTGCACTTCAAAGGAAAGCGCCATGTGGAGCCTGGGATCAGCTGGAGACTCCCGCGCTGGCCCCGGGCTCCGTGCGGCATTGCCACTTTGAAACGCTGCAGGGAGCCCAGTGTCAGGCACATAACTCAGGGTCAGTGGGAGAGTCCCCAGCTGATCCCAGTCTCCACGTGTCTTTGCTGCTTTGAAACACTGAGTGCAGCCTGGATACACCCCAGCTGGCCCCGGGCTGCACGTGGCGTTTCAAAACAGCAGCGCCATGTGGAGTCCGGGGTCTGGCCCAGGCTCCAAGTGGCGCTGCCACTTTCAAGTATTCCCCCTCTTCTCCTCACCTTGCTGCCTCTTTCTGATAGAGGCAGCAAAGGGGTGGGAGGGAAGCGACTAGTCGATTAACTTGCTGACTATCTGATTGAGTATTTGCTTATTGGATAGTCGACTAGTCCTTCACATCCCTAAATCAGCTACATCTGGTAAACTTTGCAGCCCCTTGATAACTTTTGACCCAAACTTTGCTGTTTTTCTACTTTTCCACTGTCATGGGAGCAGGAGCTAGCCTGCAGCTACTTAATATTGCTGGTTTGCCCTGCTGCAGCCCTCTTTTTCCACAGATCTCTTAGAACCTGTCAAACAGGAGCAAATGACATTGCGTAGTGTCCCTATGATATGCGTGGGTTTCATTATCCCTGTGACGGGAGAACTGATTTGCTCAATGTCACAGAAGGCAGTCGAGCTAGGAATAGACCCCGTGGGTAGGATCCTTAGCTGGTATAAATTGTCATGGCCCATTGAAGTCTCTCTTCTGGGGTCAAATTACCATTCAGATTTCTTATAAACAAAATTCAAACACAGAAAGGGCCATTAAACCCAGATGCTGCACTATGAAAAAGGGAATTCGGATTCCCAAAGCTGCTGTTTATCCAGACAGCTCCGTTGTATGGTTATAAAAGGTTCCATTTCACAGAATCTACCCACAAAAAGAAGCCTGCAAATCTGGAGAGTGTGTTAGAGCTTCTCAGGTCATCTCGACGTTTGCGTTAGAACGAGGGAATTTTTTTCTCCATTATCTTGCCATTGGGCACGGCATGTGCATTTTATTTTCCTGATGGTTGGTTGTTGCTTTGGAAGCAGGACTGGGTGCTTAACCTGGCTGTCAACACATGCATAAGGAGTCTGCAGCCTAACATTAGTCCCACACAAGCCTGGTACAAACACACAATGGAAACAATAGCATGGTAATGGTAAGATTTACGGCTCAGAAAACCCAGGCAGGCAGCACAATGGCAAAGTCTGAGTCACCCAGGGCCTGATCCTGGGAGGTGCTGAGCACCCTGGACTCTAATGGGAGTCAGGAGGACTCAGCATCTCTCAGCAATTCCAGTGGTTACATGGGTATGTTTTGACTTGATTTGCACTCTCCATGGTAACACAATGGCATGACTTAGCAACTGTTGCCAACCTGGGAGGAAAATTCCATGTGTCTGTGAAGTGCTCTAGGATGAGGCTACTTAGCTTTTGTTGCACTGTGCAAGTGCGTCAGACAACGTAAGAGCGGAATTATTCTCCTCAGAGCCTGTGCACGGGTGTGCTAGCATGGGGGGACCCAGGGAACCTTTCTCACTCCTTTGGTCCAGGGCACCTGCCACAGGGTGAGCTGTACCACATTGGTGCTGGAACACTTTTTTACAGCAAAGGTGCTGAAAGCCAGCAGTTCCCCAACCAAAACTTTTTACCTCACCCACCCCTTCTTCCTCTCTGAGCGCCCCACACTCCAAAGCTGGAGGCAGGAGCTGGACTGTGGCTCTGGGGGTGGGAGGGATGGGGATGGGGTAAGGGGACCAAGGCCGGGACTCCATCTGTGAGACTGGAACGGGTCCCATATGAAGAGAAATTAAAAAGCCTCGGACTTTTCACCTTAGAAAAGAGGAGACTAAGGGGGGATATGACAGAGGTCTATAAAATCATGACTGGTATGGAAAAAGTGAATAAGGAAAAGCGATATACTTATTCCCACAATATATGAACAAGGGGTCACCAAATGAAATTAATAGGCAGTAGGTTCAAAACAAACAAAAGGAAGTTTTTCTTCATGCAGCACACAGTCAACCTGTGGAACTTCTTGCCAGAAGATGTTATGAAGACTGGGACTTTAACAGGGTTAAAAAAAGAGCTAGATAGATTCATGGAGGTTAGGTCCATCAATGGCTGTTAGCCAGGATGGGTAGGAATGGTGTCCCTAGCCTCTGTTTCTCTGGAGGTGGGTGACGGGGGAGGGATCACATGATGATTACTGTTGTGTTCCCTCCCTCTGAGGCATCTGGTATTGGCCACTGTCGGCAGACAGGATACTGGGCTGGATGGACCATTGGTCAGACCCAGTATGGCCGTTCTTATGTTCTTATGTTTCTTATGTTCTTAGGAGCTGAGCCCCTGAGCACAGGGCCAAGAGCAGAACCCAAGGTGTAGGGCCAGTTGCTGCTGGGACCCCATCTTAGGAGCTGGGAACAGTGCCCCAGGTGTGGATCAAGTGGCAGCTGAGACCCTGGGTGCAGGGTGGCAGGCAGGATCCTGCACAAAACCTGGAAGTGCTTCAGCACCCCCCACACCCATTTTCCCCTCACCTATGGCTCACTGAGACTCTTGTCAGTAGAGAATATGAAGCAGGGGTGACTGATTAGTGCTGCTGGCAATACTAGAGGCCCAGGCTGTGTTTCCAGGCCAGGTGAAGCCAGGACTGTGGTCCCTTCTGTGCTGGGGTGGCTGCATGCCACGGTGGGATGTGTTGGAGGGTGTATCTGTTGAACGAGCATGACTACAGCTTCCCTATCCCAGGCACCAACAAGCATTGTGCCTTGTCGCCTCCTCTTCCCTGCTGTGGCTCGAGACACACAGGGCCAGCTGGCTTTGTGATTGAACGGTGTTGTGGCTAGAAAAGAGCCTTCGGTTTTCAACTGCAGGAGGTGTGCTGTTGGGGAGGGACTCACGGTTTGCATAAGGCGGGGATGGGGTGGGGGCACAAGGCTTCATTAAAGTCCATTCAAAAGCTCTGAGAGAACATGATAGCGTAGTTCTTGTCAGGCAGGTGATCATGTAAGAACAAAAGCTGCTTGGTGTTGTTAGTGCCCATTTTTCCTTCCACAGTCAAACTGTTCTTCTGCTTTCACCCTCCTCACACGACCACCCTCCTCCTTTCAGCCTTTTGCTGTGTTTTGCTGCCCTGTCCTCTGCTGAGACCCACGAAATTCCATACAGATAAGACCCTTTGGTGAGGGACTGACTAAGGAAGGCTTCAGGGGAAGTGATGAAAACCTCATTGTATGAGTCATTTCAAATTGAACTGGGTAACGCACTAGGGAAAAAAATCTGGTGGGAACAATCGTGCATCGGCCAGAGAGAGCCTACATGTGACTCAACAGGAAAATTGTCCCCAAACTGAAACCCTGGATCTGAACATTCCTGAACGCTGGGGTGTTGAAAATCCAGCTCCAAAGGTACAGTTGGTAGCTTGATGTTTGCTGTGTTCACCACGAGTGAAATTCTGGGCCCATTGAAGTCAACAGCAAAACTGCTATTGATTTTACCCGGGCCAGGATTTTGCCTTGTGTCCTAGTCTCGCGCCTGCTGAGGAGGGCTAAGGGGGGCAATTTCCCTAGGCCCCAGCAATTCAAAAGGGACTAGAGCTCCTAGCTTCTCCTGCCCTACTGCAGCAGCAATGGTGGGTGAGCCCTGGGCCCTTTAAATTGTCATCGGAGCCCCAAGCAGTGTGTTCCTGGTGACGTTGAGGGCTGGCTGGGGACGGGCACAGTCTCGGCAGCACTGAGAGCTGGTGGTGGGGTGTGATGTGTCTGCGTGGTGCTTAGGGCTGGCTACTCTGGCCCTACCCCTTCACAGCCCCCACCTGTTGCCCAGGGACCCCTCAAATCTATCAGTTTCCCTGTTCAGCCTTCTTAGCATCTCTGATTCTATGGCTACTGGATTTGCTGTACTTGTGATACTCACATCTGTGACATTTACCACCCCGATCTGTGGCTTGAATAGGTCAATCTTGAAGGTTTTCTCCCAATAGGTGATGAGCTGCAACAGTGAAAAGGGAAAAAAATGCTCAGACAAAGATGTTTAAACAACCAGCAGTTCATATTAATATAGCCAGCTACGGGAGCACAAGCCGTCCAGCAATCAGTCTGGTCCTGGAAATCAGACATGGCCTCTCTTGTGTGGTGGTGTAAAATGCACCTGTGGGTTGTTCCAACAGCATCCATTTAATGAGGGAAACATCAGATCAGTTTCTTCTCCTTCCAGATTTGACTGGATGCTGTGGGTTCCAGTTCCCAGTTTGCCATGCTGTCTCAATTTCCCCCATCTCTTCTCTTCCTTTGCATCCTGTGTGTTCATGCTTTAGTATGAGGAGTGTGTGCAGACAGACAGACAGACAGAAACACACACCCCAGCAGCAACCAAGGAGATGATCCTCTGCCACTCACCAGAGGAAAGTCATCAGGGTCGATCCACACAATGCTTAGGTCAGGATTGTTGGTGTTCTCCTTGGCAACTTGCTTCAGAATCTCCAGGAACTCGAAGCCATCTGAAATGACAGATGTGAACCTCTAAGTCTCTCAGCCAAGATGCAATGCTTTGCACTTTTCTAGCACCCTTCCTCAAAGGATATCAAACTGAATGAATTATTAATTAAGCCTAGCAATCCTGCTGTGAAGCTGGTCAGTAGCACAGTCCCCGTTTTACAGATGGGAAAACTGAGGCATGGAGTAAGTGGCAAGTGGAATTTTCACTAATGCCTGGGTAATTTACCACCACAAACCCCATTGACGCATGCTCCTAAATCAAAAAGGCACTTTTAAAAATCTCTAAGTGATTCACCCAAGGTCACAGAGCAAGTCAGTAGCAAAGCTCGAACAAGAACCTTAGGGTCTCGAATCCTGTTGTCTGTTCATTCCACCTGTGCATCAGGACTCTAGGAACTGCCACCGGAAACAATCTAATAGTTTATGTACAACATTATTTTATCTCCAACAACTACCAGAGCCAAAAGCTTCTGAGGGAGAGGTAAGCCCCTCATGAACCTCCTATCCGTGCCATGCTGACTAGAGAGATGGGACATTTCTTCCTACCCCCAGCTGATGACCAATTTAAGCCCTAAAGCATGGGGACTGATATTCCTTGCAACTTAATCCTAACTGGTGTAATTGGTGAGGCTATTCTTATTTCTTGGCTAAACATTCATACAAGCATCCTGGCTCCAGATCCCTGGAGGGCCTGTCTCCCTTCTCCCAGCTTGTGTGTGGGATTCTTGCTGAGCTGGTCTGACAGGCTCACCACCTGTCTGACTATATTTGCTCTGCAAACTTTCTCATGCCAGGTAAGGTGAATTAACTGACCTGCAAAGCTGCCGGCACACTCCTTTCTTGGTGACGCTTCCTCGTGACTGCACTAGTGAGGGGGCGTGCGACTTGCCTTTAGAATCTGCACAAATCCTGGGGCACTTCGTGTGGGGTAGGGCACAAGTTCAGGGGCTGGGAGAGGGAGAAAGTGCCTCCAAGATGTGGAGTGAGTTTCGCAGCGCGTATGCTGGTGTAACTCCAGGGCTGGGCGTCAGGAGTCCAGTGGGAAAAGCAACTAACAAGTGGAGCTGTAAGTCCATGGGGGCCAAGAAGAGGACCCCTTGTGCGAGGCTCAGACAAGGAGACCATAATGCAAGTCAAAGCTGATCCTAGTTACTATAGATTTCCAGCCAGGTGTGAGGAGTGACAGAAGTAATGGGATGGGGAGGGGAGGGGAGAAAGGGCCTCCTACCTGGGTCATCCTCCTCAGCAAAGGCCACAATGTGGATTCCATCCAGGTCATCCTCCTGTAGAGAAGAACGCTGTTACTGACTGGTCAGGAGAGGGGGGTGGAGGGGCAGCTCGAGTGTGGGTTGCTGTTGAAAATGAGGCAAAATGGGGTCACTGTGAGGAGAAGTACCTGGGTGAGGAAGAAAGGGCCACTGGGAAGAGCAGCTGAGACTGGTGGCGGGAGGGCTTCAGGGGCCTGAGATACGGAGGTGATGGGTATCACAAGGAGCAATTGGCCGGGATCGCTGCGGATTAATGGGATGGGATCTGCTGCAAACGATGAGGTGGCCACCATGCCAAGGGATGGGCTTGACAGGGGGAGAGGAGGAGGAAGAGGGCACCTTGCAGGGCTGGGATTCAGTGGCTGAGAGAAGAGACGAAGGCTGGTCCTGCAAGCCTGGCCGTGGTGGAGAGGCATTGTTCCGGTAGAAGGCCGAGTGATGTGGAGAGCCAGATGAGCACAGGGCCTTTCCTGCCAGGCCCCACCTCCCGCAGACATGCCCCTGCTGGACTGGTGAGTGATGCCAGTAGCATCAGCTGGTGTCCTGCCTTCCCCAGTAATGAGGGAAATTAAGTGGCTGAAATGGGACTCGGTAAGGGACGGAGAGCCTGAGGGTTTTTTTAGGGGGGGAGAGGGTCTCTGAGCAGCGAGAGGGATCTGATGGGGCGGGTGAGAGGTGAGCAGACTCAGATGGGTGCCTTTGTGAGTCCTGATAGATTTAGATGAGGCTGATGTGAGGAGCGTGGGTGATTTTCTCCATGAAAATGTTGGGGGTGTGAGTAAGGCTTGCCTAATGACATTGGCAAAAGCCAATGTATCAGCCAGGCTGCTTATTGTGCACCTGCTATGAAAGTCATCTCTGAATTATCCCATGATAAAGCCTCAGTTTCTTCATCCTCTGCTGATCCCAGTTTCCATTTCAATTGATTTTAATGCAAGAAAAAATTCCCATCTAAATGCTAATTTCTTTTCCCCTTTGAGCCCAGAGGTGACAAAGCCACTATCAACAACTACAAACAACAACAACAAAACAAGCTAAAAGATGAAGTGGAAAACATTATCTTTAAAAACCACAGTGGGTTCCCGACCTGTCCTAATGTCTTGGGGTGGGGGGAGGGGGGGG